CTACAAATAAAACACAATATTTCGACTCACTTCCCATTGCTTGTTTTAATTTTGTAACGGATTTTCAACAAGTGAGGCAGGCAGTTCTGTTTGAACAATACCAAAACGAAGTGAAGCGCACTACTTTATTGGTAACTGTTGTATTTGGAAATGGGTTAACTCCCGATGGTGTGGAGAGAGAAAAGCAAACCGCAATGGGACATCTGTAACTAAAAACATTCCAATATAAGCTCGGGAGCGGGATACTTCAGCTGTGTTTAGGGGAAAAAGGGTGAAATGGCCAATTGTTAGTTACGGATTAGCTCGCAAGGCAGTTTGTTGGTTTGAAAAAGTTGCGATCCATTGGGAACTTGGGGGTCATCTGGTCAATCAAAGTATCTTTTGGATGAGATCGAGCTTCGAAGATATCCAGTACACCTCATTAAACACTCAAGCCGGTGACCAGGAATGTATCCAGCACTGTGTACGAGTGTTTATTCTTTGTTTGCTTAGGATCGGGGTTTCCTCCAGTTCCTCTTGGTTAATTGGCGGTTATAGCTCCAAATATGGGCCTGTGGTGTTCTCACTTTCGTGGCTAAGTGAATCCGCCATGCGCAGATCGTGGAGACTTCCTCAGTAAAGTGTATTTGAGATACAAATTTCGGGGGAAGGGTAAAAGGTTCCTTCAAAGGATACCTAACTTCTAAAGCTGCTTGTGAGTGAAACTTGCCATGTTTAGGGAATATTGTCCGGCAATAATATATCTTTTCTATAAATATGATCAGCCTTTACATTAAATCAAGATAAAATGTTAGCTCATTGTGGGATTAATGTGCGTTGTTGCTTTCATTGTGGACAATGGTGAACTGTGTGCCGACACAGTGCTTTTTATAGTTATTTAATCACCGTATTGTCTTGGTCGTTGGTGCGTTTCACAGAGCTACAATCCGAGACTTCCTCATGTATGACCAAGACTAGGATGATGCTCAAATAGGCTGCTTTGAAATTTAGGATGAAGGGGAAGCTTCTGTTTCGACTACCAGCTGAATTCGAGGTAATAGCGATGACTGTGTATAAAAAATGACTTAAAGTGCTTTGTCTCGTGTTGATGGATATCAATTCCCACCGCACTCCGTTCTTTCTTCGCTGTATTTGGTCATGTTCCACTGTCGGTTGAATTTGAATTCATCGGTATCAGATAGCTCTTTAATTTATCTTACAATTCCCCTAATGATCACGATGTCCCGTTTGTCTTCCCTATCAACCTTATCCTTTCCCTAGAGTATCGAAAGTGGTCTCTGACTACCAATCGGAAAAAGCAGACCAATTCAGTGTGAGTACCGGAGAGTTTGTTGAAGTGCTGGAAGATTCCGGCGACTTGCATCAAATACGCAAAGAATCTGGGGCTGTTGGATTATGCCCGGCCACTGCGTTAACACCGATCGAAGTGGAAACAATGTGAATCTAACGGTGTCAACGAAGTCAAGTGAGACTCAGATTATGCGACCATATCTCCTTTATGAATGTACTTTAATCTCTAAACGGAAAAGTGGTCACATCATGGGTTTACCGAAAATACCGAGGCGGGACTTTTCTTACATTTCCTTCTCATTAACGGCGAAGACAGAGCCAGTCCGTTTCAAACGACAGTGACACGTATTATGAGGGTCGGAACACATAATCAATGTACTAATCGATTTACATAATTAATATACTTGGGTCAAACAATCAGACTGACATCAATGTTATAGGTCCGCATGCAAGTTGGTTACTGGATGGTGTACTGAAGTTATCAAAACAATGCATAATTTGATCTTATGGGAGAGTAGTGGAAGATTCAATTAAATTATGTGGTTAATTTCGTCGTGTATAGAGCCAATTAAATGAAAATTTGGGAAGCGCTACACATCTTTTCCAACCTAATTAGGCCTTATCAGCAGTGTGAATCCATCAACCCCAAAGGGGGCTCGAACCCGGATTTCCTAAATAGACCTAATCAGGTCGAACCAGCTATACGGTGCTTCCTTGCCTTTCGGTTTGAGCTTCGTTCGTTCTTTGCACCAGGAAATTCACTATGTAATTCCATCGTACCGTTAATAGATGTTCTCAGTTGTATCTAAGCCTAATGTTAGCTGTATGCATATAACCAGTAGCAATATTTTTCTACCATCGTGTTTTTTCTTTCGGCAGTTCTGGTATCACTGACTGATCGACGCTTCCCATAGGAAGTCATGGAGAACGTGTTCCCATAAGTAGATCCACTCCATTTCCACATTTCTGCAAATAATGACCTTGTGTTTGTTTTTAACAAGACAATAAACGGGAAAAAGTTGTCAACCCTCATCTGTGACGACAGGTTACTGAACAGGAAACCAGTGATTTTTGGTTTCTGACTAGCTTTCGCACACCTTTGCGGGGCGTCCCTGAAAGCTTCCGCGCTCTGGACACTGTTCTCGTTGAAGTCATCGCACACGTCCCTAAGGACTCTGTTTCTCTTTTGACCGCGTGGCATGCGTATGACATCACGCTCATATATAAAATTGAAAAGAGCGGAACCATTGGTTTATGAGCTTTTGTTTACTTAGGGGAATACTGTATGCTCAATTTTATTGACCGAAATTTGTGTTATTTTCCATTTGATCTATTTATTCCAAGTTTAACTGAACTACTTTCTGTGTAATCATAAACTCAATTCAACTTCATTGTAGATTAGCCACTGAGCGTCTTCTGAAAGTAATCAATTGTTTTCTTTTTTAAATTTCTCCAATATCGGTATTGTCTAAATAAAGTTGACATGTGCAGAGTCGAGGTGAGACCTTCTGGTAGTCGACAGATTTTCCTCTCGATCCTGATATTCACAAGTTCAATTGTCACTTAATGTGACAGCCCTTAGGTTGTGGGTGTGTGCATGTACTGCAATTTTGGCATAAGCCTCTTTTTGTTAGTTTATTTTGAAACTAAATAGTCTGCGGGGGGGGTAACACCTTGATTCCTCATCAAATCCGTTCACAAACGGTGAATAGAAACTATTGTTTCTGAATCCCTTTCATTTAGTCGAATTCATTTCAGTATTTTAATTGTTAGAACTGAAAGAAGGCAAATACTACGAAATGTTAATATTTCTTTTAATCTCTTCAGTCGCTACAATGTAAAACAATCTGGTATTTAGACATGCAAGTTTTGATAACTACAGTGGTAAAACGGACAACAGTCAGGGGAGCGGGGGAGAGGGTGGGGTGGGAAATCAGGTCCATGGCAGTCTGACTGATTGTGTAAGGAACTTTTGTGCACGTAATATTGGATTACGTAACTTGATTAGCATCGCCTCGCTAAACGCCAAACTCCTGGGGTTCAAGTTACGTAATGATGGCTTGAACGACATTTACCACTGTAGTTATCAAAACTTGCTTGTATAAATACCAGATTGTTTTACGTTGTAGCGACTGAAGAGATTGAAAGAAAAGTTAACATCTCGCAGTATTTGTCTTCTTTCGGTTCTAACGAATTGGATAACGAGGACCCAATGTTTCATATTTTGATTGTATGAAAAATAAAACAAAATATTTTTGCTTTCTACTTGGTTGTGTTCAGTATTCAAATGCACTTTAGGAAGTGGTCAGTGGCCATACAAAGGTTGCTTGGGGGGGAATACATAAATTTGGAAAATGGGCAGCGTTATTGGGATTCGAACTCAGGACCTTCCTTGAGTTGAATATATGATTGCAAAAATCACCTTCAAGAAAAAGAAAGGGATTATTAGAAGTGAATATCCGCAGCTGCTCACTGGATAACATGTCTCGCGATAAAACTCCCGTTTTTAATGATCTAGTAATGGAACTGCATTCATTGTGGTCGTCACACGAAAACCCGGTCAAACATATTCCTCTCAGCTCGCAAACGCGATTTTTCACCCACCCCTTTGACTGACAACCGAATTGACCAATCAATGGACTCTCTCCACTCCACTAGCACTTTTGTAATTGTAGTTTCTGATATAAACGGTTGCGCTGGATTGGGAAACAGTTCCTCAACTTTCTTCTCATTCACGTGTGCCAGTCCTATTTTGTTCAAGCACTCAATCTGTCATAGTTCGTCCCTATAACACCCAACAAAGTGCTTGTTTTCGGATGATCAGGGAGGGTTAAGCCCACTTTTTGACAGCACAAATAAAGTGTTGATCACATCACCATTTATTTTCTTGAAAGTGACTAAAACGATTCTGAAATAGATTATCAATAACTTAAAACGGTGGTCATGCTTAAACTTTCACTGTAATCGATCGGAACTTCAATGCCTCCATTTTTGAGAACAGATTTCAAACAATGTTGCTCTTCCTGGCCTTATAATTGTCAGTCTACGTGATGAATAGGACCTACTAGAATGCGATATGTATGTAGCCTGGATCGAAACTTCGCAACAAATACTATCATTCAATGCTCATTTTCTCCTTCTCAAAAAAATATATATAATATTCAGTAGCAGATCAAAATGCGTGTTGCGTCGGGAGGACGACGAATTCTAAAAAGAATCGATTGATTCAATCAAGACAATGGCACAGCAGCCAAACGTGACATTCTGTGGAACTGGCTCGTTTCATTCGGCTCATGAATAAATTAGTTACAGTGACTCTGTCTTGATACCGACAACAGATAGATAAATGTGTAGGAAAACTGTCATTCCCAATAGTCTGTGATCTGTAAGAATAATCTAAGGAAGCATGTGAATGTCGGCTTTTGATTGATTGCATAGTTGATTGGCAAAAAACGAAACATCTGCAAGATAATACACCCATCATCGGAGCTTGATTATCCAATAGTTATTGCAAAACTGAATGATCAGATAAGAATAGTAGCAATGTTGTTTAAAATACTAATTTGAGAGTGGCAATAATGTGAACTCTTACTTTGCAAGAACTTACACAAAAATCCATTGAAAATGGTCACACGACGTACCACTCGCTACTTTGCGCTATCTGTACAAGTGTTTGATAGTTTAGTAAGTTTGTATCTGCATCAATAAGTTGCATCTGAAACTTGTTGTCATATCCTGTAAATCGGGACTTTAAGATAAACTAACACAAGTATGATGCGCATGCACCCGCCCGTCCGGCCGTTGCATCAAATTAACTTATATACTGTTGATGAACAAGGCATCCGAGCAGAACTCGAATTGATCAGTCCGGTTGGAACCAGAGTGGGTTGTTTAGAACAGCGGTAACTCACACACCTTCTATGGGAGATGTCTAGGGTTCTAATCCCATTGGACACGCAATACTGGAGATGCGGTACATTGTATCTGTAACCATTACGAAACTAGTGTTTGAAGTCTAAGCCAACGTTAAGCGATCCGGAATTCAACAGGTCTAATCCCGCACCACCCCCCTCCCTCACCTATTTGACCCATTTATGAAGTTACTCGGCATGGCCAGAGCTGTTTTCCAAACGTCGGTGTCCATCTTGGCATAGTTGCACCTGCAACGGAAGGAGATCAGTGTTATTTTTGGGAGAACTCTGGATTCGATCAATAGATGACAGCACTCAAAAACAAAGTATCATTTCAAATCGATATATTCTGTACTTTGGTTCATCCTAATAAATAAGATATGCATTTTTGAAATACACCATGAAGTTTATATTCCATTTTCCTTTCAATAAATTTCAGACTTCTGATCGAAACGAGAAGATGCAAATTCTAGTGGATAACCGAAGCCCCATTAATCATCCCTTCAAAATCACCATTCTCTGTATACACACTCATAATCGTACACATATTTACTTGTTCTCAGGATCGACGGTCTTTTCGTGCACCACGAACTGTAGTTGTGCACTTTTCGAAATATATTTTCGATCAAGAATGAATCAATCTTTTTCAAACAAAAATATTCACAATTTGATAATTGAGATAACAAAGATCATATTCAACCTAAATGAGTTCAAAGCACAAAAAAGCAATATAAAAATGGAAGAAAATTCAAAGGGTAGATAGATAGATAGATAGATAGATAGATGGATAGATAGATAGATAGA